TACTAGTTATCATCAAGAAACCTTTTTTTGTTATTGTGTTAAACTTCTTTTCGCTATTTTGTCAATCTAATTCATTAAGAATTTTAATTTTGAAAGACTACACCAATATTACGAAGAATTAATTAAAAAAGTTTAAATGGTTTTATATTTAAACCATTTAAATAAGTGAAATGTGAATGGGGAAATTTCTAGTTTAGACTCTATATATACCTGCCAGTATAAGTAACTCGGCTCCGGGATCTTTGTCCCTTCATTCCACATCCACAAACCTACGAAGCCTTCTACTCTTTTTTAGAACCCTCAAGATTCAAAATCATCAACCATGGCGAAACAAACAATAGCCTACGGTCCATTCAGTTCTCAGTTTGCTGCCATATGTTCAGCGCAATCAGACGGCAATCGGTTGTCAACAAAACTAACGCTGTTAGATGAAGCTTGGCCAACTGAGAAGAGAGAAGCAACAGCACCTGTTCCTAGAGACTTCTCTGAGGCTGATATAAACCAAAGAGAGGTAGCTTCCAAGATTATGGAGATGAAACGCTACAGCTCCAGAGAAGAGGAAGAAGAAAAGAGAAAGGGTGTTTCTACAAAACTGGGGCTCCATCCTTATCCATGGAACATCAGGAAGATGTATATAAATTTACATGAAAGATTAAATTACAGCATCTTTGAATTTCATGAATTTTACATGTTATAAAATCAACAATAAACAGTTAATTAGAAAAAAAAAACAAAAACAAAAACAAAAAAACATACCTTAAGCCATAATACTCGTTGATGATGATTTCTACGATTAAGAATATTGGTTTCTCTCTCCTTTCCTCTCTTTAATTTTCCAGAATTTGTTTTGCTAAAAGTGATGGAGAAAGTACGTTCTAACTTTCTTTTATAGGCACAGAGAGGACCAAGTGAAATAAACTTCCCTCAAATACATGTCATGAGTAACTTTTAAATAGATAATTTCTTCAATTTATTATTAAACCATAATAATAATATTTATATATTAATAGGCCACATATAATTTAATGACATATGTTAATGGGTCACATTTAATTTTATCTTACAAAAGAGTGTTACAAGGAGTGATCTGGGTCATTCGCGCAGACTTTTGTTGAAAACAGTTTTGGTGGATGATTATGTTAAGCCTTTCATGAGCTTTGATATCTTTGGCAAAATTCAAAGTATAGAAGGTCTGAGAGTTGTGGTGTGGGACTATGATACTAATTTTGTGCACAATCAACTCGTTTTAAGAAAATGACCTTCATTTAGCAGCTACATTTTCATTGGTAAGTGGTATAAAGATTTTGTGAAAAGAAGGAACTTGAAGGAAGGGGACGAGATTGTCATGTGTTGGGATGCATACAATTCAAGGTTCAACTTTCGCGTTCTTAATAGAAATTCAACAATTCCACTAATTGCTTCAAGCTCTTTTTGAAAGTTACAGATCTGAAAGAAAATTTCGATTGTACTTCTAATATATATATCCAGCTCTCTCTATTTATATATAGGGGGAGAGATTCTTCTATGTACATATATATTGTGAGTTATTTTTTTTTTTTTTTTTTTTTCAAATCTCATCACGCTAAATCTAAGAGTGGAGAAAAGCTGGAAATTTTTGTGTATCTGGTATGGCAAAATCTTCTCTAATCCTTGTGACATTGACTCGTTGAGAATATATATTAGTATAAATAAATTATAGCAAGTTGATTCCAAGTTTGTATTTTGCTTTTTACAATAAAAGCATTCAATAATATTCCTTAAAAAACCGTATTATTAGTTTATTACGTGCCATGAATGTTTATCTTACTCAATGAACTTATTATCATTCAAAGATTAGGTAAAACTGCCTCTAATATTTTAAAATCATCAAATTGATCTTAAAGGGTCCTTCAAATTATATACATCACTTTGAAAAAGCAACCGGTTATGTTGTTCAGGTGTACTAAATTGAATTTCTCAATGGTCTTTTCGTAATTTTTGTTTTAATCTATGATTCTGAATATGCTTTTAAGGTCATATAGATATTACGGATGGACATATTTGTAAGATTATAGAAGTAAAATATGTTATTGTTATTTTTGTCAAACTTATGTTACAGTGACACATTTTGCCAAGTGATATTTTCTCTTTGATTATCTTGCTCATCAAGTTTATTTTGATTCATGATATTCTTGTATGAGTTAACTTTACATATGTCACAATTTCTTTATGTAGTCCTGTAAGGCTTTATATGTGGTCCCCCAAGAAAGAGAAAATACATGTTTATGGTCCAACAAAAAAGTTGGAATTCTTTTTGTCCTCCACGTGTTCAACTATCAGGCTTATGTCTTTTGTATTTTCATTTCATGTGTGTTCACGATGGATGTGTTCTTGCACACTTATGTCAGACATATACATGTTACATTTTATTTCACATTTTACTTCATGTGTGCACACACATTTTTGCTGTGCTAACATCGCATGTCTAACACATTTTTCACAAGTTGCGTTTTTTACTTAACAACTAAGATATTTTATTTGCATCTTTTATGTTGTCATTTTGACCACTTACAGGTGTCCCAATATCCTCTTGTGGTTCAAGGAAATAAGTTTTCATTTTTTGGTTGTGGTCCCAAAAGATAGATAAAATCTTTTCCATTTTTGGACCAATATATGTCAGCCCTTGTTTGCTGACTTGGCAATAATTGGGGAGCATGAAATTGGTCTATATTATCTTCATTCTTGCTCATTTGTGAACTAACCTTTATATTTGTTTTTGCCTTGTGCTCTGAAACTTTCAAAGAGTTTTTTTTTTTTTCCTTAAGGTTCCCCATATGTTTTTGTGCTAAACACTTATCATCCTTCATCTTCTTCCTTGTTTGCTTTTCTTTTTGAACCTAAATATCTATTTTGTTGGTGCTCTAAATTTTTCAAAAGAGTTGTTCTTGGTTAGGTTCTTTTATGTGGGTTTGTGTTAGAAACTTTCTTGTTTATCTTCATTGTTGAATGGCAGCCAGAACGTGGTTCCTTTACTGATGCTGGAGCGTGTCTTCAACAACTGAAGCTTGGGTGGAGCTCAAGCGTTTTCCAGGAGTGAACCTAGTGTGAAGAGATCTGTGGTACAACAAGACATTAGAGATTCAGAGTATGGTGCTAAGTGTAAAGTTGAACAGGGGATTCTTTTTATTGTATCTTATATCAACTTTGAACTATATCTTGTAATGTTTGTTGATTAGTGGATTTGCTTAGATCTGAACGAGGTCCTATGGATGTAGGCTAAAAGTGGATTTAACCGAACCATATATATGCTAGTGTGCTTTACATTTATAGCTTATTATTATCATTGATTTGTTGTAAACCTGACTGTGTTAACACAACTTGGTAAATCATTCTACTGCGTCTTTAAAAATGGGTACCTAAACGTTAAATAGAGTTCACCAACTCTAACATACATGTGTGTATATATATATATATATTCTAAAGTTTAATATGTTCGTTACAAAGTAACTAAACATCTAAAGTTATTAAATTAGGCTACATATTATTAAAATCTCGTGTTTTTGTTATCCGTCTTTCAGTGGAGATATCAATTCAAAACAGAAAAAAAAAATCTAGAATTTTGTTGTGAGGTTTTGTTTTTGTTCAAAGTTTGATTAATGTTTCCAGGAAATAAAAACTTGAAACTCGTGTCATTTGTTGATCGCATAAATTAACTAAGTTTGAACAAAAGAATAAATAAAAGAAATAGCTTACCCACGATTTCATTGATTAAACAAATAGTGACAAAAATTAAAAGCCACCATATATTCACCCATGTATTATCTATAAAATGGGTAAGTTAACATTATTGACCGAGGGGTATTTTAATTTCAAAAAGGGTACATTCGTAAATATTTTATATATTACAATAATTGCTCCAACGTTTTAGGTCAAAGTTAAGAATTAATATAAAGTATCAATTTAATCTTATTTTAAACTTATAAATTAAACGACTCATGCATGGTATAATCTTGAAAACAAATCTTCAAAGGGTAGGGATCCCAATACAATCCAAATTCATCTTCTGCCTTCACATTTTGGCTGTTGATGAATTTCTGAACGTAGCTGTTAGAAGCTAGCTTACACAGATAACCCAGGTCATTTTGTGCATGTAAGCCTCTTCTTTATTTTCCATGGATGAGTTTAGAGTTTTAGTTTAGTTTGGTTGAAACGAAACGCCATTTAATTACGTCCTCTCTTCTTCCTCCTCCTCTTTAGGACTGTAATGTTTCATCCTTGCTATTGTGGAGTTGGCCGTGTCTCTCTTCTTTTCAACTCCCTCAAACTATTCTTTAGCCATAGGTGTGTTTGCAGTAGGCCAAGTATCGTCAAACAACTTAAGTTCCGTTGAAACTTGAGCGTTCTTTGTCGGTGAAAGAGTGGTGAAACTTGTTCTCCGCCTCTTAATTATTTTAACTTGACAAACAAGATTGGATTGTGTCGGAATTTCAGTTGTTACTTTGTAGTCTTGTGGGTTGTTGTGGCTCTTCCGCTTCATGCATATCACTGTCTTACGATAAGAGACTTGCTTTTGTTTATCGGAGGTTTGTTTTTGTGTCTCCTTTCTTGAACCCATTAGACTATTTGGTGTTGGTGTTGGTGTTGGTGTTAGTGGTGGAGTCTCCATTGTTGAGCAGTAAAGAAAGCAAAAGCCAAAACAAAAATCTTGAGGATTTTGAGGGGAAAAAGGAGGAGGGAGGTGAAAATCTCAATGGGTTTCATGGGGGTGACAGAGTGGTTTATAATTATATAGAATAAATAAACAATGAAAGATTAATCAGTTTTAGAGAAGGAAATCAGAAATTTGATAGTCAAGAAGTTTCTATTTTCTATGGAAAAAGGGCTTTTTAAATAATACATGTAAATGTATACGACACGTCGCGTTTTATAGTATAATTTGGACGGTGTGTCGAGTGTAAATGCTTTTTAAATAATAAACAGTTAAATAAAATAGGATAATAATAGCGGAATTCGATTTCTTTTTAAGCAGAAACCCACTCCAAAATGACAAAGATGAACAACTTCCCTTCCGATTATAAACTCTGCCACTCCAATTGCTTTTACTTTATTTCAGTTTCTGAGATGATTTGCTCGTCTTCTCTGCTTCATGGGTCTGAAGAATCCTTGCCTTATCAGATTGCGTGCCTCTTGAGGTATATTTGATCCATTCTATGTAAAAAAATTTGCAATCTTTTGAAAAGAATCGACTAATTAGTAAGTTTACTTCAGTTTTCTGGTAATATTTTCATGTTTAGGAGTGCTTTTTTTTTTTTTGGTATGTTTTTTAGGGTTCTTTATTTCCATTGAAACTTGGAAGTAAAGAAATAGCACCCAAGTAAGAATAATTGCTCGTAATTAAAAGGGAATATCCATCCCTGTTTTTAATCTAGGAATTTGTTAAGTGGAACGATCTTAAATGGTTAAAAAGGCTAAAATAGGATAATATTAATGAAGGGATTTAATTTATTTATTTTTTTGCTTAAGATATTGAAACAAGGAGCATCTATGAGAAATTGAACTGTTTACACATCGGCTTTTGACAAGTGGATGATCATTGTTGTTTTAAATTTTCATGCCACTGTTCATAGTGTATTGTAACTATTTATATATGGAAAGAATTTGTATAATTTACTTGATTTTGTTGTTATATGGGTTTAGTTCAATTTAGGCTCGTTCATTACTCAGAATGGAGTGTCTAGTCAGAACATTAACCCTTTGTTAGACTGATTTAATGAGAAATATGGCATTTACTATTACTAACCAAGTTTAAGATAATCTAATCTCACAGGCAAACAACGTGAGATGTTGTTTGCTAGTGCCAGATTTCTTTTGTTACATATATAGCATGATAATCAAGTAGATAAACATTTGTGACGCAAGATAAATGTCATTGTTTTCTCCTTAAACATGTCGCTTTATATAGCCTTACATATGTATAGAGGAGTGTAAAATATAGGCACATGGTAAGTATAGAGAGGGGTAAATGAGTGACTGGAAGAGTGAGAAGGAATCGTCGTATTTTGCATCTCATTTTAGAGTAGTTGAAGCTTTGGGGACGTCGTCAAAACGCCAAAATCTTTAAGTTTAGTGGAATTGATCAAAATGAGAAATTTTCAAGTCAGTGAGGTGAGGAATGAGACAAAAGTTCTGATCACCTTATTGCTTCAAATTATTTTATACAGAATTGGTAAAGGAAATGTGTATGGTATTCTATTTAGTAAATTGTTTGAGGATGATTTTGCAATGATTGCACCTAGCATATTTGATAAATTAACAACCTTTTATGCCTCCATTTGCATGTTAGGGAACTAGGATGATTGATCTAGGATGGATCTTAATCTTCTGATGAGGAAGTTGGTCTGCGAAATGTCTTTTATTAGAGCAAATGCCAGATGAATATCATTTAAAGAGTTTTCAATCATTACCAAAACTATGAAGCTTGAAAATGATATGCTATGTTATGTCTTGAAGATAATAGAGATTGAGGAATAGGGAACAATTGCTTAAAGGCTTGAAAGTTCTAACAAAAAGGTAGCTTGTTACCATGAAATTCTGAAGAGTGGCACGAACTATTCTACTCTTCCCTTTTTGGGCCTAAACCACTATTTCACAATTGAACAGGATTATCGCTTTGCTGATTATGGTCAGGCGCCAGATGCATTGCCATCTCTGGCAGCTATCAAGTCTCAATCGCATGTTCATGGATTGCCAGCTTTCTCCTCTTTTGTTGGTTCTCCATCGTCTCTACAGCAAGGGGGTGACTGCAGTTTATCACAGACTTACCATCAACAATCACAGTTTGAGGAATTGGCATTTTGGCAGGTGGGTTTGGTATTCTGAATTTCATGAAACTTTTGGCTCTTTGATAGTCATATTTATTTTTATTATTTAAAATTTGCAGCATTCTGCCACTTTTTATAAGTTGATAAAACAATTAGAATACTGAATATGTGGTTTCTTATTTTATATCGTTAATCAGTGTCCTATTTAACCAGTTGAAGGTCAGCTGCAATTATATCTTTTAACCATAATGTCCACTTTTGTTTGGCGGGTTTTTCCTAAGCAAAGTCAGGAGCATGATATCCAGATTCTACTGTGTAGTCTTAAGCTTGTGTGCTATCTTTTTATTCTCCATCATCTCTTCCCCCTCCTATAAAAAAAAGAGGACATGTTTTTCCAATCCAGAATAGCACAATTGCCCAGGCATGGTTTGGCTCTGATGTAGGACAGATTTTCTTAAATTACGATTATATTTTGTTTCCTTTTCTTATTTTATTTTCGAATTTTAATTAGGATTTTCTGTTTGGAAGTTTAATTGTTTTAGGATTTTAGGCAAATTAGAAAGTATTGTTTTAGTAAATTTTTGCTATATTATTTTATAATTACTTGCTCTAGTAGGATTAGTTTAGTGTAAATAGGCATTTGCGAATTGTTTTCACGTGGATTCCAGGTTTTCTCATGGATTCAAGCCCTCTCGTGGATAGAGCATAACTAGAGCCTACCCTATTCTGCTGTGTCAGGTTCTTCATTTCCTTGGCTGTTAACCAACTCTGGATCTTATATTTGGGGCACAGCTCTCAAAATGCAGTATAATGTGACAGATATATAGGCCTTTCCTTCTATTATGAATATATAGAAGCATAGCACAAATATTGCATAAATTTTATGGCTGTGTCGCACATATTTTGCTTAGTTATTTATTCCAATTGTTTGATGCTCATGCAGTCATTGCAGAAGCAGCAAAATAACATAGCGCTCCCAGGGAGCCTCTATTCTCAGCCACTGCAGCAGCATCCCAGATTCATTGAGCCTCTAAAGGTTCTAAATTCACAAACAATTTATTAATTTTTTGTTTTGCATTATTTTTTTAGTTTCTGACTCTAGAAGTTGTATACTCATAGCCATCACACAAGCAGCATATAAGCATGGAGCCACCATGGAGCAACCATTCTCAGTTTCAACAGCAGAATCTCAATTTCACTGAGCGTCCACTGAAGGTTATTAATACAAAAAAAAATTCATTTTATGATTCTTGAGGTTTACAAATTCATTTGTTTCTCTAATGATGATTAGTTCAAAGAACTTATGGTACATAATACAGAAACTCATATGAACTTGAAAAATTGTAGCTAGGCAGGTGTTTGACTATTTTATTTTCTTCTATTTGACAGATAGGAGAACAATATTCTCAAGAAGTTCCTCATGCCATCAACCCCTCACCATATGAGTCACAATCACAGCAGTTAATTCTTCCTGGCTTGAGGATCAATGAAGGAAAATCTGTTAGCCAGAAGCCTCCAACATTTAGTAGTGGGCAGTATCTCCCTGAAAGAGGTTTTGACAAAGGGAAAGAGAAGGTAACTTCATTTTCAACTGATGTGGACAACTTTACATATGCAATAAATGAACGACTAGCTCTAGAATTGTCCAGGAGTGGGGGTCGATCAAATGCCTTGTATTCTGTTAGTCCGGAGCTAGAATACATTCATCAGACTCCTGCTGTGAGAACTGATGTTACATTGGATAGAGAAATTGAGGATTCAGGAAGCAATTCCCTGATGGAACTCATGGAGGTGCTAAAAGAATGTAGCCCTCCAGGACCAGATATTCCTGATCCATATGGAGACTCTAATGGGCCATTGTTTGATATCCCTTTCTTTTCCAGGATCACCGGGCTTTCTGGCTTGTCAGGTCCTGTTAGCAGTTTGGAGAATTTCCCTTTGCCATATAATGGCTAAGGATTGCACTCGAAAAAGGCAACAAACAAGTATTGAACATGAACAGGAAAAGACGGTTTAAAGATTGATGATCTTCTAGCTGTTAATAAATTTAGAGGTCATCTACCAGAGTAGAATTTCCAGCTTTCTTCCTGTGGATTTATTTTGAACTTTTTGGAACCATTAGTACCCAGAATTTTTAGTGATTATATGAATTTCTTTGCTTTCAAACTGTGTTTCAGCAATTTATGCGTTGCGTGTGCGTGTGTGACAATTGTCTATGTTTTCATTGATCTGGTAATAAATTTAGAGGTTACCCATGACGTAGCTGAAAGTGCTTCTTACAGAAGTCCTATAATTCACATAATGAAATAACATATTGAAATTCAAAGAAAAGGACTTGATGTGATGAAACATAAGAGAGCTTTGTTTTTTATTTGTAATTATTATTATTGACTGATTATGATTAAGGATCAAACACTTTTATGTTAGCTTGGAAAATGATAACATGAGTATAAATTCCAACTTTTTTTTTGTTAATTTTATATTATAAATAATTATGGCATAAACAGAATTTAACCCTTTTTCTATTTAAAAATATACCAAATCCAAACGCAAATTTATGATATAAAATATCGTTCTCACCCTAAAAATATCATATAGTATAGGTCAACCCTAGCACCCGTATCTTTTAAATCACAACCCACATCTTTTGCCTATAATTAATAAAAAAATTTCATACATATCTGAAATATAATTTGTAATTTTTACGTTTCTGGTCATTAATAAAATATTCTAATTTTTACCATAATTTTCAAAACCCTTACTCTCTCCCCTTCTCAACTTACTCGATTTCTCTCCACCAACGACAACGACAACAACAATAATAGCAAGGATCAGTCCACGTCCAATCCCGGAACCTTTCTCAGGAAAATGAAGGAAATTTTAGTGTCAGATGAGTGGTTTCTGTTAGAGTTTTGAATATCCAATACAATTCGATAATTTTATTTATTTCTACGCAGTATTTTGTTTAATTGACCCAGTATCTAGAGCTGAACATAAATATTTACTTTGTGATGCTCGAACCCACAGTTTTTAGCATGAATTTAATTTAGCATCATGTGTCCGTAATTTATATATTAAAGTAATATTTCATTTCATATACCTCTTTACACAATAATAAAAACTGTAATAGAAAACTTTTACTCTGAAAACAATAATCAATATGCAACAGCTGCCCTATCATTTTCAAGTTATTTGTTACATACATAAGTTTAACTATACGCTAATTGTTAGAATGATTTTAAATATTTCACTTAGTTCACTCCAATATCTTAAGGTAAACTTAAACATATATTTGTGATCAATATTTCACTTAAGTCACTCCAATATCTTAAACCAAACCTGAAGATATATACGTGTATCTCTAAACATTAAATAATTATAATATTCACTAGTAAATATTATCTTTGTAAGCATAATATTACTCGTAACCATAAGTTCAAAATTAGCAATATATATAATTATTTCATTGGATTATCACATCACATAATGTGATATTGTAAGAAGACTGCATTATGTTATGTTGTTGAGGAAGATGATCAATCTTGCTCAATCGAAAAACACAATTGTGGTCTAGTTGCCATCAAGGAATATGAACATACATAACCAAATCTAATCATAAAATACAATTATACTCTTAATGAAATAATATATGCTATATTACTAATATATGGCACTAGACTATACTAGATTCGACAGTCTAACATTTAAAAGTATGGTTTGACAATCTAACTAAAACATGTTTAACTAGCATTCCAACTATTTTGTTCTTCATATTTTTCATTAAGGGCAATTAAATTAACTCATGTGATTTTATGGCTAAATCTGTCTTTTAAACAACGTTTGAGAATTAAAATTAATAAGGTTGACTATATATGGAAATATTTCTGCCTATGGCTTAAATATGTGAATGCATTCAAATTAATAAAATTTTAAGTTTGTATTTTTGAAAAAAAATTATTAATTACTCAACCGATAACTTAATTGTATTTACTTCTGGGGTTTAGAATTAGGTCTACAAGGTTTGAGTCCTGCTATTTAAATATTTATCAAAATAGTTTATCTAATATAAAAATATTTAAAGGAAAAATATATATACTTTGGTGGTACTTGTTCTTTGTTGGTTTGATGAATAGCAGTTACTTCTGAAGAATTTCAGATTCTCGTGGGTTGTCGTGGTTCTTACACTTTATCCTGTGTATAACCAACTTTTGTTTTTGGGGGATTTGTTTTTTAGTCTCCTTTCTTGAACCCACTGTTGTCATTGTTGAAGATTGATTCTTTTGCTTTTGTGCCTGAGATGTGGCATCCGTCAGATTGTTATTTGGTGGTGGTGGTGGAGTGGAGTCTCCACTGTTGAGCAGCGAAGACGCAAAAATCACGAGGGCATAGAAAAGCAGAGATGTTAAAATCTCAATAAGTTTTATGGGATGATGGAGTGTTGTATGTAGAGAAAATAAATAGTCATGAAGATTAATTAGTTTTAGAGAAGGAGATAGTCAAGCGGTTTCTGAAACCTTTTTTAAGTAGGATTTGAAATATATTGAGTTTCCTGAACTTGATTGGAAACTTCTGATTACTTTCTTAATTTGGATTCTAAAATTTCATGTTGTTTTTGCTACCATCTTTCAATGGAGACACCAGTTTTTACAGTGTCAAAAATCTAAGAACGTAATGGTAAAAAAATTACCAACCCAACATAGTTGAAGCAAGGAAAATCCATTTTATTTTATCACTCATATATATCAGATCACCCAAAGTTTTGAGTATTCATGATTCTGAAAACTTCACAATGAATACAAAGCAGAACATTGCATGAAATTTTAAACTCAATAGTTAAAATTTACAATTGGAAAATTTGACTAAATTAAAGATTGAATTTTTAGGATCCTAGTACAATCCAATTTCATCTCCTATCTTCAAGTTTCGTCTACTGATGAATTTCTAAGCCCATCCGTCAATGAAAATGTAGCTCTTTGAAGTTGACCACTTCTTCATAATCAACGAGTGCTGGGATTGAGTATCTTGATCCCACACCATCACTCTCAAACCCTCTTTGCTTTGAACCTCATTAATCTAATGCTTGTTGAAGAATGGCAACACATACTTTTCCACCAGACTTGTTTGCAGCAAAAACCTACAGAGATGACCTAGATCACTTTGTGTTAGCCTCTTCTTTATATTCCATGGATCAGTGTAAAGTTTTAGTTTGGTTGAAACTCCCTTCATGCTCCCTTCTTCCTCCTCTTCAGGGTTGTAATATTTCATCATGGCAATCTTGGAGTTTGCCATCTCTCTTTTCTTTCTGACCCCCTCAAAGTATTCTTTAGCCATAGGTATGTTAGCAGTTGCCCAAGTCTCATCAAACAACTTCAATTGTGTTGAAACTTGAGTGTTGTTTGTCAGTGAAAGAAAGGTGTAAGTTATTATTCTTGGCTTCTTATAATTGCTTTGATGAGAAAGAGTAACTTCTGTCGAAATTTCGCTAGTTTTTTCAGATTCCTGTGGGTTGATGTGGTTCTTATGCTTCATCAAGTGTATCGCAGTGGAGACTATCTTTTGTTTCTTGGGGTCTGTTTTTTTATCAGTCTCCTTTCTTGATGAACCCCTAGTTGAAGATAGATTCTCTTGCTTTTGTGCATGACATATGGCACCCATCATATTATTTGGTGGTGGAGTTTCCATTGTTGAGCAGTGAAGACACAAGAAGAAGAACAAAAATCATTAGGATTTTGAAGGCAAATAAAAAGGAGAGGTGAAAATCTTAATGGGTTCTATGGGGGTGATGGAATGGTTTATATAAAGAAATTAAGTATTGAAGATTATTCAGTTTTTTAGAAGGAAATATGAAATTTGATTGTTAAAGAAATTTAATAAAACCTGTTTGAAATAGGATTTGAGGATGAGAAGGAAATAAGATTAACCTGTTTGAAAATTATAAAACATGAAAACAACAACATTAAACAACTTTTCTCCGGACTATAAACTAATCTGCCCCTCCAAAATCCAAATCCTAGACAGAAATAGGTTGAGGTTCATCATCACAAGGAGCCTATCTATGAGAACTTGAACCCTAGATAGAGCTGCTTTTGGCAAGTGGATGAACAATGTCGTTGAAATTTTTCATGCCATCGCTCTTGTTGTATGGTAACTAATTTATATATGGAAAGAATTTTTGAACTTTTTATTAAATATGTTTAGTTTGATTTTAGGCTCGTTCTTTACTAGAATGAATAAGTAGGTTAGATATTTAACCCTTTGTTAGATTAATCTAATCTCATCGGCAAACACATGCACCGAGATGTTTGTTTGTTTGTTTTAGGCAAAAACTCAACGTGATGATCATAAACACCATAACTCTCCATTCTCGGGAGATTCTAATTCAAATTTCATATTTAGTTACTTGAAATATTCTCAAATCTAAAGGCTCAACGTATAGTCATAACTTCGTAAAACAAAGCACCCCAAATTTGGAAACTGCACCTGATCAACCAGATTTAATAGGTCATATTTAAATTAAATTAGATGGCAAAGCAAACCACTGGAGAATATTTTTTCGCATTTCGGAGCTAAAGAATAATTTTTTTTCTTAGGGTTTTAGCATTAAATCTGTGTCTTAAAATTAACTCAAATTATCATGTTCTTATCTTGTAAACTAAATGAATCTATTTGTCGACATGAAGTGTGTCACATCAGCATACTAATATATACACTCTAATTCTCTTTGCAAGCTCCGTCTGTCAATAAAAATTTGACTTGATTAGTTGGCTCTAATATCTCTGTTAATGTTTCAGTAGTTTAAAATGAATATTACAAAAATAATGATATAAACATCATAAGAAAAATAATGATATAAACATCATAAGATAAATTACTTGAAACTTAAAATTTTAAGTATGAGGTCAAATTTGGTCATGATTGCTTATTTTTATTTGTGGGGAAAAAAAAATAACAACGGCCCAGTTTTGTGGAGACACCCTTTGTCCTTTCTTCTTCCTCTTCTCTGGGGCTGTAGACTTTCATCTTCATAATCTCGAAAGCTACTTTAGGGACAGGTGTCGTTGCTTCTCTTTTCTCAGTTGGCCAAGGCCAAGCTTTATCGAACAACGTTAGTTCTGTTGACAAATGATCTCTGCCATCTGATTGCGCTGAACATATGGCACCAATATGAGAACTGAGTGCAGAATTGGCTATTGGTTGTTTCGTCACGGTTGAACTTGAGGGATCGAGAGTTGAATTACTTATATACAGGTAGGTTTTTCTGTAGTGGTACAAACATTTGCTGCTTTCTGTATCTGTGGTGGGACCATTTTTTACCAGGACTTTTGCTTTCTCTCCAAAGTTACAATTTTACAAACATAATGGGAATCAAGAATGTTGCCGGTTTCACTTCTTTTCTAAAACCCCTTTGTGGGATCCATCATGTATAATATTATTTTCATCTCCAAAGTCTTTCAAAGTTACAAGTTTACAAACACGATGGGATTCCTCAATTTCGTTGTGATTTGTGGGATCCATCATGTTTAATATTACAAAGTCTTCCAAAGTTACAATTTTACAAACATGATAAGGAATCAAGAATGTTTCTGATTTCTTGGCTTTTCTAAAACCTTCGTTGTGGGATCCATCAGGTTCAATATTATTTTCATATCCAAAGTCTTTCAAAGTTACAATTTTACAAACATGATGGGATTTCTTTGGTTTTCATCTCCAAAGTCTTCCAGAGTTACAATTTTACAAACATGATGAACCACCACATGCTCAAATGGAGAATCAAATGTGAGTCGGTATGTCTATGTCTATCTACGCTATCCTCAGTTTATCAAAACTATATGGGTTACTCATGGATGGATATGTAACTTTCACATTATTTATAATTTTATATAGAATGAATGAAATTGAAATTAATAATAAAATATAAAATATATTTCTTTTTAACTATTGAAACTGAAAAAAAAAAATTATTGATTCTTTCTTAAATTTAATTAACTTTATAACGAAAAAATTGGAAAGTTTGAAATTTTTATGTCACTATTTGCTTGTCTCTAGACATTATCATGAAACATGCACATTCCACATTGAAAGAGCTTCACTTTCTAAGCTATTTCTCTGGTAATTTCTCATAATGTCCCATTGTGACTTCTAAATATTTTTTGAAAAATATTTACATGCAACGATCTTACAATATCACATTTGCAGCGTTTGGTTTGAGAAATTTTTTATTACTGAAAAGATAGGATTACTACTAAAAGATAGATTACCTTGAAGATTAATGGGAAATGTTACATTAATATGTTTGGTTGGATTAGTGAATATAAATAATTAATATGTTTGGTTAGGAGGAATAAGATATTATCGAAGAGATTTCTACGGAATTACCCTCCCTTTTTAATATTATTATTATTATTTAGAGTATTTTTTTAACCCCCTACATTTGAGAATTTAACTAAAACACCCTAACAACAAAAGTTTAAAATTTAACAAAATGCCCTCAGCCACCCAAGACGACTACCAACTGCCAACCACAACTAATAACCGCCATTGACCATCACTGGAACGGTGCACGACCGATCGTGCACCGATGTGACCATTTTCAATCAAATCACAGGCAGGAAACGGTCAAATCCATTCTGGTCATTAATGGCTAGATTTGTGGCCTTGGTAGGAGTTGAGTTTTTGGTAGTAGGAGTTGATTAATTTATGACTTGAATTGGGACCTTTCTTTCAGGGATTGAGTTTGTGACATGGATTGTAACTTCGTTTTCAGGAATTTAGTTTTAACTTTGGTTGTAGGAATTGAGTTTGTGACTTGGATCGTAAATTTGGTTGGAGGGACAGAGTTTATGGTCCGGAGGAAAGTTGTTTATAGTTGTAATTTTCAATTGGATTTATGTTTAGAAAGAAACGAATTCCGCTATTATCTATTATCCTATTTAAAAAAAAAAAAAAAATTACAACAGAAATGCTATGTGTTTACAGGTGTAAGACGACATGCTGTATATGTATTGCATTTTTTGAGAAGCTTTTCTCATAAATTGACAAATAATGTAAAAGGCACTTCAGAATCCATAAGTCATCAGAAGTACTATTATAACTATACTTCAAATCCTATTTCAAACAGGTTTTAGAAATTTCTTATTTCCTTCTCTAAAACTGACTAATATTCAGTACTTATTTTCTTTATATAAACCATTCCATTACCCCCCATTTAAATTTTCACCTCTCTCCTTTTCTTTGCCCTCAAAATCCTCAAGCTTGTTGTTCTTCTTTTTGTGTCTTCACTGCTCAACAATTGAAACTCCACCACCACCAAATAGTCTGATGGTTGCCATATCTCAAGCACAAAAGCAAGAGAATCTATCTTCAACAATGGGTTCATCAAGAAAGAAGACTGATAAAAAACAAACCCCCAAGAAACAAAAGATAGTCTTTACAGCGATACACTTGATGAAGAGTAAGAATCACAACAACCCATAAGAATCTGAAGCAACTAGCGAAATTTCAACAGAAGTTACTCTTTCTCATCAAAGCAATAACAAGAAGCCGAGAACAATAAGTTACACCATTCTTTCACTGACAAACAACACTCAAGTTTCAACACAACTGAAGTTGTTTGATGATACTTGGTCAACTGCTAACATACCTGTGGCTAAAGAATACTTTGAGGGGGTCAAAAAGAAAAGAGAGATGGCAAACTCCAAGATTGCAATGATGAAACATTACAGCCCTGAAGAGGAGGAAGAAGAAAGGATGAAGGGAGTTTCAACCAAACTAAAACTTTACACTGATCCATGGAATATAAAGAAGAGGCTAACACAAAGTGATCTAGGTCATCTCTGTAGGTTTTTGCTGCAAACAAGTCTGGTGGAAAAGTATGTGTTGCCATTCTTCAACAGGCATCAGATTAATGAGGTTCAAAGCAAAGAGGGTTTGAGAGTGATGGTGTGGGATCAAGATACTCAATCCCAACACTCATTAATTATGAAAATGTGGTCAACTTCAAAGAGCTACATTTTCATTGACGGATGGACTCAAAAATTCGTCAGTAGACGAAACTTGAAGACGGGAGATGAAATTGGACTGTACTGGGATCCTTACAATGCAATATTTAATTTTCATGTTATTCAACGTGCGGCCTAAAATTTACATTTAACTTCCGGATATTCCACTCAATGTAGTTACACAAGAGCATGTATGGAGTTTACCTTAATTTAGTCAAATTTTCCAATTGCAAATATTAAATGTTGAGTTTAAATTTCATGTAATGTTCTGTTTTGTTCACATAAAAGTTATACTATAAAGACGCAGTAGAACTTTTACAATAACTCGTGTCCCTTTTGTTATGAATACCACAAGTTTCTCTTGTTATATATATATATATATATTGGTTTAATCTGACGGATGCCATATCTCAAGCCCAAAAGCAAGAGAATCAATGTTCAACAATGGCAACAATGGATTCAAGAAAAGAGACTCAAAAACAAATCCCCTAGAAACAAAGGCTAGTGATACACATGATATAGCATAAGAACCACAACAACCCACAAGAATCTGAAATTTCTTTGGAAGTAACTGTTGTTCATCAAACCAACAATAACAAGAAGTGGAGAACAAGCACCACTAAAATCCGTCTTTATCGGATAAAGAATACTCAAGTTTCAGTAGAACTCAAGTTGTTTGATGATACATAGCCATGGTCAACTGCTAGAGAACACTATGAGGGAGTTAGAAAGAAAGGAGAGACGACCAACTCCAAGATAGCAAGGATGAAAAATTACACACCTGAATAGAAGGAAGAAGAGAGACTATAGGGTGTTTCAATCAAACTAAAACTCTGAACTCATGCATAGAAATTAAGAAAAGCTGAAGAGGCTTACACAAAGGGACTCATATGCTTTGGGAGATATATTACATTGTACTGGATGCTGAATATGATCTAACTCTAACACAAGCCATTGCCAGGTAGTTGAGTGTGTGAGACTGGAGACTAAAGGAATCTACGGTATATTGTTAACCCAACACATGTTTTGCATATGTTTGAAAACTACATGTACCATTATAAGTTACAATAAAGTATTCCACCATGAATTATTTACGAGGATCTAAATGGACAATTTTGGTTCAGCCACTGGCAAACCAAAATTGTTCTGCATATGAAAAGTTGTCTCACAATATCAACAACCGTTTTAGGCATATTAGAGGGAACACTTGGGAAATACAACCGTACCATATGGGGAGTGAACATTATAGGAAAGTTGGAAAGACTCATGCACTGAAACTAAGTTAGACATGTTAACAGAAAGTATAAAAAGTATGATAAAGGAACTGCAACAAACCTGCATGAGTAGGAAGGGACTGTTGGCCGTCTGATTGTAGTCACATGGAAACCAGATTCTAAGAGATGCCTGCTTTAAAAAATTGAAACGACATGAAGCTGTTGTAGCCATGGCTTTAAGCACACAAACCAGAAAGAGCTGAGAGAGAAGAGAGGAGATACCTGCTAGCTAGGACGGCCTTCTATTCACTCCCTACAATAAGAGATATAATGGGACTTGAGATTCGGATTCCAGTAAAAGCATGAAAGTCTTAAACCTGGTTCCAAATAGCCCTTCTATGCCATGTTTCCTATTTTGCCACAATAACAGCAGCTGCTAAGTCATACTTGCTTTGTCAATAACAGAAAATATCACAACAAGAGGTAATGGCTAGAAGCATAAGATGCCCTGAGACATCATAAAATACATTTCTTTCAACATAAAGGATTTACTCATTTATGTTTTTTTACCATTTTGTAAGGGGACAATTGTACCACAAACAGACTCTTCATGCAACATTTCCTACCCCCGAACCAAACTTAATTTGGAATAACTATTCAACTCTCTTTGTCATTGGAACTCACATCTAGTGGCAAAACTGGTTATACCACAACAATTTATCATGTGATTGCTTTACCTTTTAAAACACCTTTTTACATTCCATAAGTGCTAGTACTCATTAATGGGAAACTAACTAAGACAATCCAAGAAATGTTATGCTACTAATTTTCTATAAATAAACTCAAGGAAAAATATTGTCTGTACCATGTGCTGCAGCAGCAATGGGAATTGATGCAGAAGTTGAAAATATAAAAGAATGACCCCTAGATTGTATGAACTGCTTCCACCTTTTGCTGTATAGAAACATTCAGAATACTTGTAAGTATTAAACATACCTTAACCACCATCATATAAATATAGTACATATGCACATAAGATGCTCTTTATAGCAAACAAGAAAATGGAAATCATAAAATGAGTCTATAACTATTTTGTGCGAAAATCAATAACTTGTAAGTATTATACATATCTTAACCATCATCATATAAATATAATACGTATGCACATACTCTTTATAGCAAACAAGAAAATGGAAATCCTAAAATGCGTCAGTAACTATTTTGTGTGAAAATCAATAACTTTCAAACTATGTCCCACCGAAAGAAAAAAAAAAAAATAGCTTCATCAATCCGCAAAGAAGCAATCAAAACCAAAATTTTGAAAGTAGATATCTTTTATTGTTTGTATCAAAGAAACGAATTATGTTCCTTCATCCTTGATCCTAAAAAAACCTTCAATACTTTTACTCTCAAGCTAAAATGGCCTCTGCTTCTATTGAGATACCAACAATGGAAACATGTAAACTTAAATTGGGGAAACTCATGAAATTTTTGTTAAGCATTAAGTTGATTCAAAGTTGTTCTTTCTAAGAAATTTCATTGCACTTGTTTCTGTAATAGTTTTAACACCGGATGTCTGTAGACACTGCGACAATATGCTAGGCAATTCTTCAATCACCAAAAGCGAAAATTAAAGAGAAAATTTTGAAGGAAATCTATTGAAGTGCTAAAATAACCTTGTTGTGGGCCTACATCTGAGCAAAAAAGCACAATGTAAGGGGCTTGTTCTACTTTCTGTTCTTAACAGAACAAAAAGGACCAGGTTCTCATAATTACCTGCATGCTATGAAACCACCATGACAACCTGCCGCCTTACTCAGAGTGCCAATGCATATGTCTATATCTCTTTCGCAATTGAATTCCTCAGCCACTTCCCCACCACTTTTGCCACAGACAAATGTTCCATGAGCCTGAAAACAGTTAAGGAATAGTTACTTGGTGCTAGCATACACCTGCAGCTAATTTTTGAAGAAGATACCATCTTTCCCTATGCCATACACTATAAAATTTTGGACAAGGTTTTTAGCATATGAAAGCGAGGAAAGAGAATATATATATCAACTGAAAAATGATTTATTGAAGAATCAATATAATTAGAATAATTTTTGAAAAACTGAAATGTTAGACCTTTTATGTAGCATAATTTAAAGGCTTTAAGTGTGCAAGAAATAAATGAGTATGCAGTCCAATTCCTCAACAAGTGTCATGTAAAAGATAAACTCATAACAGTTTCTTCAAGTGCTAAATACTTGAACATTTTCTTTTATGACTAGAAATTCCCCAACCTTTCTTAAATATTCAAGAATTTTAAACTGGGGATTACAAGAAACTTATTGGATGTATCCAAGTAAGTGCTTTGGGGAGTGTTTTACCCCTAACCTCTTGGTTGATTCCAAAAGTCTATACCGCTTAACCCAACCCTTGAAGTCAAACAAGTTCAAAATAAACTAAAAAGAAAAAAAAAAAGTGTAGAACACTAGACCAGCAAGACAACTTACATCATCTAAGACTAACAAAAAACCATACTTCTTGCGAAGCTTCACGAGTTCAACCATTGGTGCAAAGTCTCCATCCATACTAGACAAGCTGCAGAAAGAAGAGAATTAAGCACATTGTCAAGAAAATTGGCAGAAGTTAAAACATCAGGATTTTCAGCAGTAAAAACATTAAAAAATAAATATATAACACAACATATAAACATAGCAAGACCAACAATCTGTCAAAAATATGGTATGTTACCAAAACACCTAGCAAATGTTTCCAAAAGACTAGTTGCAGTCACTCAGAGGACTGTGAACCAGAGAGCAGTAACGTTTCGTAGACAAGATGCAAAATATCCAAGGTATAATACACTCATAAGTGGTGTCAGCCATGTATCCGAAGTTTGCAATCTTATTAGAAGATTTAACTCAATATGAAATTACAGCATGAAAAATTGAAATAAAAATGAAGATGCAGGTCCAAACAGACTCTGAATATGATACGGGGCTATTGTATAAATATAATGCTACAAAACGTTAACTAAAATCTTGGCAACATCACCCCTAAAAGACAATGGATAAAAAGAAGCAAAACTAAGTATAATGAAAACCACATAAAAATATCATTAAAACCAATCAATATAAGACAAAGAAAGGGAGCAAAAGTACCAGAACTAGGAATGTCATGGAACCATCTGTGAAAGGTGGAGTCAGATATTGATATTTCAACGGCAGATCGATCCCAGAGTTGCATTTCATGGAACACCTCGTAATCATCGTCACGTTCTTCGACGGGTGGAGATTGTTCTTTCTGTAGTTCATTGGAGGAGACGTAAATGGGCCTTAGAGAGCGAAGCACTTTTTAAGTTTGAAGCTTTGAGAGTGCTGCTTCGACCCAGTGGTCCCACTCCCACAAGTTCGTCTCCATTTCGCAAAATACGATGAATAAAGAACGAATGGGACGGAACAGAGACAGATTTTAAGAATTAGAGATGAGTATGGTTGGAGTTCGTCTTCAAATGACATTCAAGCATTGTTCTTACCAATAAAAACAAAAGGATCTATACCTAAGAATTGTGTTAACCATACTAAGACAATTGTATCATGACCTGATCATGTACATTCACCGTTGGATCCGTATATCTAAAATATTATTTCTGTTCAACCAAATGAATACAATAGTATTTAAGTACTGTTCAGATATAATTATATTAGGATGGTTTGGATTAGAAGTGTATATATCAATAATGTAAGATTAAATTATAGTAGTTTCACACCATTCTCTTACACTTATTTTGCAAAATGCTATATCATAAATTATGAGAGAAAATTGTAAGATTAAATTATAGACTTAGCACTAGTTTATAATACTCTTTTTTTATTCTATCAAACTCACCGTTCCACCCATTTAAATAAACTCAACAACTCAACAATTAATTAGGCCTTAATGTAATAATAGGCCGGCCCAGCACAACAATAAAACCTAACTAATTAAATCTGGGCTACCAACTAAGTAAACTATCAACACAATTAACCCACTAATTCAATCGACACAATTTGGGCATCGTTAACAATAGACCAGCCTACTTAACAAATTTAAACTCATCAACAGTTCAACACTATCAAACTCATTAATCCAATTAAACCCATTAACACCGTTTAACCCATTAATCCTTTAATAATTTAATTACCCAAACTAAATAATTGGATGTTATTATCTATGGGCCAACCTACTTAGACAATTAAACCCATAAATTAAAATTAGCCCATCAACCTCTTTATAAAAACCCACTAGGGTTTGGCAAATTTAATTTTGGTTCTCTCTTGTTTGTTTTTTCAAGCTCCCTTAAAACTTTTGAATTCTTACACTTTACCCCCCAAAAACACAAAATAAAATTTAATAAAATTCCATAAAAATACGGGGTATTACAAAGTGTTTATTTGTGTTTGTTTGCGAGGAACGGTGGAGTCGGTTATGTGGTAAAATAAAATCAAATACTGATTATCTATTTAAAATTTCTTTACATAAATTACCATATCTTATCTAAATAATCTTATAAAAGATGTGAAGTCAATCGGTTGCCTTAAATATTTCTCTTTTTATGTAACTATTATAAATATTAAATATTTTACGGATGTATCAAATTAAGTTCATTCTAAAATCATCTATTAAAGTCATAATCAAGTTTAATTTAGATATATTAAGTTAATATGAAATCCTTTTACTCCTCGAGGGACGCACCACCTTCCTTTTAATATTATTTCTATTTCGACTTCTAGATTTTGTAGCTTTACCTTTTGTTATTATTGATTATTTTAAGGTTGCGTTTGGTTCGGGGTGATATAAGATTAATCTTGTAATCTTTGTTTAATTTTTAAAATTCTCTCGTTTGGTTGTCAAGTAATAAAATATTACATAATCTTTTATTATAAATAGGGTTTACTATTGGTAATATTGGAGGTAACCAGATTACCTTCTTAAGGGGTGTTAATATAAGATTACCAAGGTAATCTTAATTTTGACCCTATTTTGCCCTTAACTTTTTATCATTTCGGACACATTTGCCCTCATATGTTTATCAAATAACAATCACCCCAACCCCCTACATTTGAGAATTTAGCTAAAACACTTCAGCCACAAAAAAAGTTTAAAAGTTAATAAAATACCCCCAACCACCAAAGACCATGGTCGGTTACTAGCCACCACCATTAGCTGTCAGCGAAAGTCGTCATATCGGCACAAGATCGGCAAGATCTTGCCGGTAAGGATGTTTGGCCAGAAACTACCAGATTTGGCAATTTCATAGTCAAAGATGTGGCCGTGAAACGCCATAGATCTAGTCGTGAAATGCTAGATCTTTGGCCGTGAAATGGCCGCTGTTTCACGGCCAAAGATCTAGCCTTTTCACAGCCAAATCTGTGGTCGTTTCACGTTCACGGCTAGATGTAGCCGTTTTTTGCTATGGATCAAAGATCCATGGCCAGATTAGGCCTTACTAGCGCACCACCAACCAGATCCGACTGGTTATGCGCCATTACGGCCGCTGCCAACAGTGGTGGTTGGCTGCCGGCAGTGGCTTATAGGGGTGTTCAAAAGTTCGGTTAACCGCTTTTCTAAACTGAATCGGATTTTAACCGAACCGGTTTTAGGGAAAACCGGTTTAAAAAAAGCGATTAACCGATTTTCCCTTTTTTTTAATAAAACTTTTTTTTTTAAATTTTATCCTAAATTAAATTATAAATATAAACAATACATTGGGAACTAAGAAAAAAATTTTGGGTTGGGATTTTAGATTGAGTGAATTAGGGATTTATTTTAGTTTAGGTTATTATTTATTTATTTAATATATATATATATATATATATTTGAAAAACCGGTTTTCGGTTAATCGTTTCTAATTTTTCCCGAATTGGTAACCGAACCGAAAATTCGGTTTTTTGAATTTTTTGAACCGTAACCGAACTGTTTTTTTAGTTAACCGTTTTTTCGGTTCGGTTCGGTTTTTGCATTTTTTTGAACACCCCTAGTGGCTTGGGGTGGGTGGGGGTGATTTTGCTACAAATTAAAGTTTTATATGGTTAGGGTGTTTTAGCAAAATTTCAAATCTAGGGGGTTAAAAGAAATAATAATAAAAATAATATTATATTATTATTTAAAAAGGAGGATAATTTAGTAATCTACATAACATACCCATTCATTTATCCTCCCAACCAAACATATTATTATAATATATCCACAAATTTATTTTAACCAACCAAACATATTCCTCTAACGATTCCCTAGTAATCTATCTTTCCAGTAATACAACATCTTTAGTAATATAACATTCCCTGAACCAAACGCGCCGTAATTGTTATAATCACTGTTTTTTTTTTTTTTTTTTTTTTTTTTAAATTACTACAAAAATGTTTATAGTTATGTTTGTTAAACATGTTTCGCAAGCATGAATATGGATATGAAATTATTTTTTTTTTTTTTTTTGTGTTTAAATTACTACAAAAATGTTTATAGTTATGTTTGTTAAACATGTTTCGCAAGCATGAATATGGATATGAAATTACTTAAAATAAGAAGAGAAAACTAAAAAAGAAAATTTATTTATTTATTAAAGTTCTTAATAAAGTTATATAAATAATAATTAAATTTTTTTAGCATAATTTTGTGTTTCTAATAATTTTATCTTTATTTGATATATTAGAGTAGGATTTCTTTAAATTTTAGCCTTAGCGCAAAATCCCATAGGAAAAATTTATTATAACATAAATTTCAAAGATTTATTTAGTAGGGTGAACAATTGAGCTTGTATTTATTTATCCAATTTTTAATTCATTTATATATTTTCATTTTCCAATTATAGTGCATATATATCCTAATTTTAACCCAAAGAATATTTATCTTAAACTAGGTGGATATCTATAATAATAAACGCTGAGAGAAGAATATTCCTAAATTTCATATCAACAAAAAATTTTCGAGAGCAGAATATATGATATTGCATATTTGCATGCAGAAAAGGAAAACATAAATGTACAAGGAGACAAAATACCACTTAGAGAGACAATTTAGTTGCCTTAAAACTTTTTAATACTCTGTTTAATTTCTCTTTCAATCTCTCTCTTTGCGTGAAAACACGAAACATAGTGAAGGAAACAGCAAGAACTTGTTCTCGTTGTGGCCACAACTCAAGCACTTGTAATGAAAAGGGTTGTGTTAAAACTCTTTGGTGCCAATATTCATGTTCATCATGAGAGAGATGAAGCTGATCAACCTCCACATGAAAGGAAAAAGGGTATTTTTTCAAAAAGGGTATTTTTTCTTTTTTCTTTTCAATAATATTGATTTCATGATTTAATCCTAAAGGGGAGTACCTTAAACAATCAAATTGTAAACTTGGAACCTCTCATGAACATTCCACATTACGGTGGGATTACTTACATGGTAAAAACCAGTTTGAGCTTTGGCCACTTAAAGATTTTAACTGCTTCATTAAATACTATACTAGTTAATTTAACAGGATTCTTTTGAATTCAATATATCTAATTCTTTGAAACATATGGTTTAATTAATAGGGACCAAGTAATGTGCTATCTCTTTCATACATTGAAGCAATGAAGTACTACCAGATATATGTGTTGAGGGGTAACGCCTCTCACAATTTTAATGCTTGTAGAGCTTAATTTACCAATGTCAATGTCACTGCAAGCTGAAGCCGCTGCTTCCACATCTTCAAATGCAAGAGATGACAATTCTCTCGACCATAAAATTGGACTGCCTCAATCCTCCCATCAATACTAGGTTTATTTTACTATACCTCTTTGACCATTTGAACGTTTATTTTACTAATTATTTTGGCATTTGTTATTAGAATTATATTATATTATGACTGACCAGCTGGTTGCTCATGACATACCTAAAGTTATTGAAAATGTTTGGTTATTTTGTACAATTGCAGAGCTTTATGCTGGCTGACTGCCTCCACCATTGAACCATGTATAAATTAAAATACTTCAATTTTCTCGATTTTAATTTAAGTATTATTTTTATATTAATTAATTATTACATCTCGAATTTATTGTTAATTTGTAAATTGTTGTATTATAAAAAATATATATGTTAATTACAATGATATTATTATCATAATTTTAACTATTTTGTGGTCCAACAAAGAAAACCACATAAATGTTTCAGTACTTAACAATGAACAAAGATTGAGACTTATGTAATTGTTGTGAATTTGCGTAAACATATAATTTATCAAAATTAATAATATGTGAAGCAAATCACCAATTACACAAAAAATATAATAATTTAATGTGATTCGACGTAAAACTTTCATACACTGATAGTATAAAGAATAATATACTGATATCTTTGTATAATATTGCAAAGAGGCAATGGCAACAATATCCTTTTTGGTTTTTATGGCTCAAATTGATTAGGTAAAGATCTGGAAAGAAATTGAAGTTAGAAAGTGGTTCTCTTTCCATGGCAATTTGTATTCT